TACTGTAGTATAAGTGATAGTTTGAGGACTTTGAGAGTATTTGGACGTATATGTTTGCAGTTGTTTTTGAAAGAATTAATCTGTGAAAACCTCTACAAAGTCGTATGAAATTAGTTCTTCCCACGAAAGATAATTGGCTTACTTCACAGTCAACGATATAATGCTTCAAAATGAACTATTTTCAACTACGTTTTTTGATAAAACGAATCATTTAACCTCTTCTATATGAATAAATATAAAACGCTTTTCTAACGCAGTTGTTTGTATGTTTGTTAGTGTACTCTTCCGAACAAAGCTCAAGCGCAGATATTTGAGTACAATGAAGAGTTTCTAATACGCGATCTGTTTAAGAGATGAGTTGATATAATTTAGTTTTCTCATTCTATTCGTATCGAAATGATAGAGAAAACCTTTTTTTTTATAACTTGATGATAAATCTTAATGTGTAACAATTTTTTATTTAGCACAATAAAATTAAAATTAAAAAGGATTTTAATGAAAAGTTTTCAAAACGAGGATAGAGCAGAACAAAGAACAGACTTTTTCCATATAAATTTGTGGTATGTCAAAATAAATTGTTCGTTCAATTAGCCGAGCATTTTATGCGCTATAAACTGATTTGTGTATGTGGCAAGAGTGCGGCGCAAGATCGAAAATATAAAGAATAGCGTTTAGAAAGTAGACCATTGCGGAGCATTATATCGCTGACTCTCTAGTAATCTCATTGTCATTTGTGGGAAGAACTCTTTTCTTATGACTTGAGGGAGTGAATGTGAGTGTAAATATTATTCTATTCATCCACACTCACACCCACACCCTCAAGATGGTGAGAGTGAGGTCAAGACTTACTACAATATATTGCAGATATATTTCACTTTCACTCATAAAGATTTTTAAGCGGGTGTGGATGAATGAATCTTCTTGTTAATCATCCACATCCTCAAATTAATTTGAATTGATAAAGCGAACATGATAATAACATTTTATATTCGAATATCAAAATCGAAGGATAAGTTATAGGACAACTTGATCCAAATGCTTCAATTACAATCGAACAATTTATTTGATCTTGAACAATCCTATTTATAAGAATCAGTAAAGGAATAATTCCACATGTAAATAAAATCACATGCCAATAAATCGAACAGATCTTCTTGCTGCGAACCATTTGCAAATAATGACAAATATTTACAGATGTTAAATAGAATGACTGAAGAATATTAAAATAGAACATAAAATAAACTTCAAAATAACATGAAACACGTCATATTTTTTTGTTTTCACTGCACTATGGATACTAAACTGAACTAAAATCAAATTGAATTTGTTGATAAAAAATTGCAATCATAATGGACAATAAAGAAATAGATAGAAGAAAATAATTTTGTAATAATACTTTAGAACTTCGTCTAATTGTATGATTACTGAATGATACAAATATTATTTGTATTTCAGAAAACATCTTTCTTTTGCTACTAATAATTACATGTTTTATTTAAACACATCATCTTTGTTAATTAATACTATGTACGTAAAATAGTTCATATGTTTTCACACAATTAATGAAAACTCAACATGAAACTGATGATATTATAAAGAATTTGACTAAAAAATATTGTTACTTCTGAGAATAAAACAAAATGATTAATTCTAAAATTGAAATAGAATATTGAATTTCAACTAAATATATTTTTTTTTAGATAAATTTCGAATTTGTTTTTTCTCTTCAATTTTGAATTTTAAATAAAATAAAACAAATTCGACTTTTTGTTAATTTTTTTGTTTTAACAGATTATTTCATTGCATTCTTACCATTTAAATTAAAGAATAGTTTGTTCGATTTTGACAGATTTCATTCTCAGTGGACTTGAAGAAGAAAGTATAGAATTCTGTACATTTCTGTTTATTTGTTTTTTTTTGAACCAAATATAAAGAAAATCTTCCATCGTTCAAACGATTTCAGGAGATCTATCACTTACGAACATTTGAAATATTCATCATGATTTCTAGAATGAATTCATTTATAAACTCAATTAATTATATATTTCCCTCTAGGATCATATAAACCCCGTTGTCTTCTCTTTTAAAAATGAGTCTTAATAGTAGATTTTTGGAATCATAATGTATTGAAATGAAGACGATGCAATTGTTATTGATGAAAATAAAAAAAGTCAAAGAATGAAAATAACTGATCTTTTGAAATAAAATTTTTTTTTTTATTCCTCGCAGAATTTTTTCATACATAAATTTTGTTTTTATAAAAATAATTGATGAAAATTTAAAGCTGTAAAATTATTCATAAATAAGAACAGAAATGAAAATAAGTAAACGTGAGAAATCACTTCATTATTAACAACTACACTCACTCTGTTTTCAGCAATTCAACAAAATTTTAATGATTAGAAGAAAAATAAAGTTGAATGAAATGTTAAAATACAACGAAAATATAAGAAGAACAAAAAAAATGTAAACACATGACATTGTTTCATTTCTAGTTTGTATGAAAAAATATACAGTAAACAATGATTTGTTTTCTAAAATAATCTGAGTCTATATATTATATTACAGTGTGACAGTTATATATAATTCAATGCAAAATAGAAGAGAATAAGCTTGGCATTTTCAAGGTTATTGATAAGAGATTTCTTTTTATTATTTCTTTCATACAATCAGAATTTTCTATTTCGAATAGAAAAAAAAGTTTCATGCATTGCAAAACTATTAATGTTTTTGACTATATTTTATTTTACAATGAAATTAAGTTCACATTTTATTGAACGAAAAGTAGTTGATATTTCTGGTCGATTAGGAACACTTTATATTGTATCGCAAGATAAATTGATTGATCAATATTCCGTAAAATCATATGAAATAAAATCGACTACTCAACATTCTATATGTAGAATATTTTCTGGTGCACAATTTAATAATATAATCGATGTTTTAAAAGAGATAAATTTTGATGATGGACTTTTACAAAGTATTCTTCTTAGTATTATTCAACCATCAGGAATTAGTTCTGCTATTGATTATACACAATCTATTAACGAGAATACTCGTTTTTTGTACTATGCATATGTAAGTAAAGAAGAAATAAGTGAAGATATAGATAAAATTGTTACATCTTCTTCATGTGCAACTCATATAATTATGAAAACTACTTGGGGTTTTGAAATTTTATGTATTTTATCGATTCCAAACGATCAATCTACTCATGCATTGGATAGTTTACTACGAAATATTGCTTATCGACTTGAACATAATGAGAAAGATTTCGTACTGACTGATCGTGAAGAAGATGAAATTAGTAGTTTGACTGACATCACTATATTTGGGTCGGAAACATGCATAGACAATCATAATACAACACTATTAACCGTTTTTAATAGAATAAAAAGTTGGCAGACAAATGAAAATTTTCATCAACCGCTACAATACACAATGTGTTGTCTAGAATCACTTTATAACAATGATCATCAGCCAGAATTATGTGATTCATCTAATCTAATTAATGATCAAACTTTAAATATTGAATCTATGATTATGGACATCGATATTTGGATAAAACATCTAGTAGAAATATTTAAAAAAATTCCTAAGAATTTCTCAAGTCGTATACTTAATAAACGATCAAATGATTTTCAAGAACAATTTTGTAATCTATTGACTATATACGGAGAATTTCGAAGTGACCTACGAAAATTACTTATTGGTATTCGTCGAAATTATTATGAATCGATAGAAATTGATAATGTTATTTCCGATGAATACTATTCATTATTGCAAATAAATAAAATAAAGAAATTTTTTCATAAAGTAAATCGATGGCTAACAAAAGCATTATTATTTGAACAATTAAATAATAATCAAATTAGATATATTGATATATCAACTATTCGTGTTGGAGGTCGTAAATTGACGACAATTGAAGATATTGAAGCTATTATAAAACGTATTCTTATGAAAGAAAATTACTGTGACGTAACGGTGTGGTATTCAGATCATCGATTACAAAGTGAAGAACCAGATATATGGAAGTTCTTGTACCAGAAATTAACTGCGGAAAGACAACAAACGAATCATCGTGTGATAATAGTGTATGCTGATTTTACTGACTGTCACTATAAGTTAAAAGACAACACACTTCTAAGACTATCAATGCGATTGCCAGATAATGTTTAAGGATAAAGACGATTGTAGACATAACTAGGCGATATTTATTCTACATCAGCGTCTACATCCACAAAAAAAATCGTATTATAAAACTTTTGATTAAATATCATAATATAAAATCTTAAATATATTTCCAAACAAGATACTTCTATGAATACCCTCAGAGCTTGTATTATCGAAGAGATATAATAATCAGATTTTATTTTAGTTTTCAAGAAAACAAAATTGAGAATGAATAAATACAAGATAAAGTTAATGTTCATTTTTTCATATTATGAATATTTTTTCTTTCGAGTAATATTATTCTATTATGGATGATTAGTATGTGTTTGTGTTTTTTGAGGGTGTGGATGGATATGATTGTGAATATGAGAGGAGTACAACACTCACTCACGCCCACTCAGATCCACAGCGACACCCACATCCCACCCTATGAACACCCTTAAAATCATGATTCGTCACCATACCAACAATCAGAATATCCACCGCAAACAATTTTGCCTCTTTCAAGTATGAGCAGGATTGTATAAATAAAATCCAAAAATTTTGTTCTTTTCAGAGACAGTTTACTTCGACTGTGATAAGCAATGATGAAGCTTTTACAATATTAACCAATGTGATAATGAACATTAGTAATTTAAAACTCAATCAGCTAACTGTAATAAATTTCTTTGTTTGTTCTTTTTGCACTAGTTACCCATTTTAAATGTGAGAAATGCATTCGAAGTAATTTTAAATTCTCGCCTTCTTTTTATTCTTTATACGTAATCTTAGTCTTATATGAAGAAAATTGAGAGAATAAAATACTGTTATCCACATCAAAACTCTCAAATATAATAATTGTGAGAAACTAGTGCATCGGCTAAAATTGTCAATTGATCTTGAGTAAATCGTTCTCGATGTTCATGCCATGAGTCGTGATGTGTGCGACGAAACTCTGATAAACATTGTTTGATCGATTTCTAAGTATCAAAGCTTTCATCTACATGTATACAAATAGATTAGAAGATACATACTTGAATTAGATCAGGATCGTCCAAATGTTCACAGAGAAGCATCAATGCATCTGGAACGTGAATTGGAATATCATATGGACTGGAAAGAACGATCGCACAAAGTCCCAAAACACCTACAATGAATGTTATGTTAAACTTTTCCTGATTAAATTAATTTACTAACCAGCATGACGTTTGGTCATATTATTCGATAGGATTACTTTCTTACCATCGATCTTGGTGAAATAATTAGTTTTGCTCATCAAACCAAAATTGTTCTTTGAAAATAAAAAATCAATTGAAATTTTTTTTTTCGAAAAAGAAAAGAGATTATCGTACTAGTTCTTTTGATGTTATTTGAATGTAGCCACATTGATATAAATCAGATAAAGTACTTCGTGCAGCTATTCGCACTTCGAAGTGTTCATCAGAGAGACAGTTGAGAACAAGTTCATGTACTTGTTTAACATAAGGACGTGCATTGAATAGATTACAAAAAATCATAGTTTGAACAAATTCAATAGCCGCTCGACTTGCATGCCATTTAGTGCTTACACAAATCTACGAATATGAACGAAAGAAGAACACAATATTCTATGTATTTTCTCAACTGATTTAATACTTGTGATAGTTGTTGAACGAATGTATTTAAAAACGAGAAATCTAAATAACTGATTCCAACACATAGTCGACTAGCTGTCAACAATGCTTTAAAGTTCTCATCACATCCTGCAACACTCTTGATTTCACAAAGCTAAAAAAGAACATTTTTCTAATTGGTATGTTTCTCCATTCATAAGCTATTTCTATCTACATACGAAAGGAAAAAGACGAATAATTCCATTTTTGATCGGTTGCTGAGACGAGTCAAATATATAGTAATTCGTCAGTACCACTAAATTGTATCGAAAGAAAAGACATGCCAAACTATCGAACGTTATATTTCTACCTGTTTCAATGAAATTGAAAGCTTTCTGAGTTTCGAGATCAGTCTTAAGAATCTGATCTGAAATCAGATTTATTGGTAATCCTTCACAAATGTCGATGGCTTGATTCAATCGTTCAGATATAGTGTCGAGAAATACATTAATATTTGGTTGACGAGTCGATTGATTATTGAACAATGTAACATCATGACTCATTGACAATGCTAATACACTAATGAAAGAAAAATTATTTGATCTAAAGACAAATTTCAAATTTGACACTAACTCAGCAATACGAATACGAACACTCAGCGATGAATGATCGAGTAATTCTGCAATGTGTTTATACACTTCACACCAAACAGACGGTATACGCCAGTGAAATTTGTCTAAGTTTCGAATTAAATGCCAACGTGCAGATTCATTAAATGTATTCAATGTTGATTTTGCATTAACCAGTGTGCACAAAAAATGAATTACGCGAAACATTCGACGCGGATCTTTATTTACCTTTAAATAACAAAAAAATATTAAATGATCACAGTGATAGACACAACTTACGATGATATAAAAGAAACATTTGTTCCAGTGCGGTTTTATTTCGGAATTAAGATTATTACAAATTTCGGTAAGGAAAGGCGTGAGTTTTTCCCATAGTTCATTTAACTAAAGAAAATGATAAGTCAATAATTAAATTAAATTAATCCATTTCTCTTACCATTTGTAATGTCCAATTTTTTGAGCCACAAATCATTCCTGCTACGATTTGTGCAGCTACTCGATGACTACCTTCTTGTTTTTTTGTGATCTTTTCATGAACGAGTTCGTTCAATTGTTCCATGAAATTATCAAAAAATGCCAAACCAAAATTACGAAATAGACCCTAGCGATAATAAATTCAAGTTAGTTTATATAAAAATCATAGGACTTTTCTATTTACTTTAAACATAACAAATTGATCTTTATCAAAGTTCTTTTGTTCTTCATTCTCGTTCAAAATCATCAATTGTGTGAGTTGTCTTACAAATTGTTTATTCATAAAACGATCATATAAAATGGTTACGTCTTTGGGCATTTCATGATCTTTTGTATAACGTACTCGTTTATTCATTGGGTATTTAATTATTTTTGGCCAAGTATAATATCCATGAAAGGGTTTATCTAAAAAGCATGTTTCTTCCCATTCGATTTGTGTTTCCGGTGGTTTATAATCATTAAATGTCAACCATAAGTTATCCTCTCGATCACCCGGATGGCACTGATCAGTAGTAATATGAGGAAGTGGTTTACCATTGTTAGATAAAATTTCTTTGAGAGATTTTTCTACATAGATGTGTGGTGGCTTTTGCAAACGACATATTGAAATAATTCCTATGATAGCTAACTGAAAAAAATTGAAGAGAAAACTTTGATTTATTAATTAATATTTGTGAACAAACTCTTCGTATTTCTATATGATCATGAATGAGACAATCGAGAAAAGTTTCAATACAGGATAATGGCATTGGCACACGATTTTGACGAAGATTACATAATAATGATAATGTGATCTTTTGTTCTTTCCATGTCCTCAATAATCATCAGAGAAAAAATTATTTAAAGATAAAGCAATCAAACTTACAACGAAGAATCTTTTAATAATAAACTAAGTGTTTCCATCAGACGATTGTAGGACTGAATGTTGTTTTGATTATATTCTTCAATTTGTTGCATTTCGTTTGTTTCTAATGAACGCCATAGAGTCTTACGAGGGAACCACCCGAGGTGTCAAAAAGCTTTCGAGCTGAAATTCCGCCCATATGTAGAGGATATATAGACTAGAAAAAGCCTAAGATGATATGTGCGCAAGTTGAGATTTAGCTGAGATATCGACTTTTCACTAGAATTTTCTTATGAGATCCCATTTCCACCATAAAATTAAAGTTACGTGTTTTGATCTGAAACTTGGCCCATATCAAGGCCTTAGTTAGAGTAACTCATCCACAAAGTTTCATAATTTTTGGACTAAGCATTCCCGAGATATAATGTTTTTAAAATATTCATACGTACCACAATATCCGTAAAAAACTGTGTTAATGCTAACAGACTCACATCTCGGAAATGCTTAGTCCAAAAATTATGAAACTTTGTGGATGAGTTACTCTAACTAAGGCCTTGATTTGGGCCAAGTTTCAGATCAAAACACGTAACTTTAATTTTATGGTGGAAATGGGATCTCATAAGAAAATTCTAGTGAAAAGTCGATATCTCAGCTAAATCTCAACTTGCGCACATATCATCTTAGGCTTTTTCTAGTCTATATATCCTCTACATATAGGCGGAATTTCAGCTCGAAAGCTTTTTGACACCTCGGGTGGTTCCCTCGTTAGCTGCACAAATAGATTTTTCATTGGTATTCTGAATGATGATATTCGTAATGGAATTTTGACGAATGTTTTTATAAATATCTTCAATCAGCTTGTGAGTACTAGTTTTCTTGGCATGAGTCATATGTACGATCAATGGCCATAGTTTTTCCTTGATTATCCACGAATATTTCGTTGGTAAGAAGAAATAATTATTACCGAGCAACAAATATAAACAGCCCTAGGTAATTTATATAAGAAGAATAATTTTGAAAAATGAAAAATATCAAACTTTGATTTGATCATGATCGGGTTCACTTGTGTTCTTGAGTAATTCGACAATACGATCAACAATCACTTGATATGAGAAGTGAATACGACTGAATAGATAAAGGAGGTCGTTTTGTGCTTTGCGACGCACCTAAAAGTTAATCAAATGAAGATTTTCAAACAAAACAAATTCAACTTACTTCACTATATCGATTAATCGATAGTTCAAACAATTTGAATATAATCTCTTTATTAATCTCATTTAATGGACCATAATAAGTTGTTTCAAGTTCCTAAGAATAGAAAGAGAAGACCATCAAGTTTTCTTGATTCTTTTCAATTACCTTGATCTTTAAAGCCAATTTTTGAATGATTAAGAAACGAAGATTTTGTCCTTCACCACATAGTTTGTTTTTTAATAATTTTTCTCGAGAACTAAAATCTTTTGGCCAATCATAAATTCCGTGCTCATAAATACCATAATAATCAGAAATAAACCAATAGAACTACAAATGAAAATATACACGATACAGAATGAAACATTGACATGATCATTTCAATTTACTCCGAGAGCTTTTTGTATCGATAAAACATCATCTGAATGATTTACGACGAGTTTGTCTAGGAGCAATCCAATATCGATGAAGAGTCGCAATCGCAGATTCTCTGGGTATTCTAAAGATAAGAAATAATCGAATAGGTCAAACGAATTGATTTTTCTTACTTGGTTCTGTCGAATATTTAGAGAGTCGAATTTGATATTTGGAATAATATGAAACCATTGATTGTATCGTAAGATTTTGTACTTCTTTACTTTCAATAGGAGGTACCAGACAAAAGGCTGCTTCGGCAATCGACTGGATAATGGTGAGAGATCTCAGTCGTTCGTTATTGGACATTTTTAAACCATTTTCATTCAATCGAGCCAATTCAGGATATAGAAATATCTCGACAAATTCATAAACAAAATCAATTTCATCAATACTGGGAATGTGAAATTGAGGTTGAACTTTATCAATATCAACATATTGACCCCATAGCTAAACAATTCAATTCAATGGAAAAGATTTCAAAAAAAGAAAACAAAAACTAACCCGAATTGGTAAAAAATTGTCGAATGTTTCGTCACTATTGATGACCAACAGTCGGTAATCAACTGGATACGAACAAGAAAGAGATTGAATTAGATTCATAGCAGCCTTAGCCACTGCTTTATATGAATGCTTATTAACAATTTGAATACATTGATGAAATACAGACATAATCAATTGTTTATAGATTAATAAAACATCACCATGAGCACGAAGAAGTTCAGCAAAGACAATTAAATACCAGGTCAATTCTATATCATCTTTGTAATCAGTTAATAATGTTGATTCAGAACTGTTAAATTTGTTCTCAATAGATTTGCATATTTCAGGAAGAAGATATTTTAGTGTTTTCACTGGGTTACCTTTGACAAGTGCTCGAACGAGACCACTGGCGATATCTCGTACTTTTGGTGATAAACATTGACTACCAAGAAAATTCATAATCTTCTCTCGAATTTTCTAAATTGTCATAAACACAATTTAAGAGAATATTCTAATCAGAAGCAAGTAAGATAAATACTTGAAAAATAGGACTGCTACATTGTTGAACAATATTGAATAGGATTGAAGTCACTTTTGGCTGGATGTCTATGTCCAACTTATTATCATTTGCATCCGCCGTTACTGCATCAGATATTTCGGCTGATGAAATCTCAATGATATGAAATATTCGATTGAGAAATTCATTGATAAAATCTTCAAATTTCGATGTCGATAGACATACTTCTCTTTCAATCTATTACAAGAAAAAACATATTTATTTTTTTCAAGTTGAAAATGAACTCATACTTCAGTTAAATCAGTTCGAATATTTACTGCCGATGAACAATCAATACATGTGATTTGCATCAGCATAGTATCAAGAAATTCTAATGTTACCGATGTTTTCTTGAAATCATTCAGATCGATACCAGGTAATACAGATATTAGTAATGGTAAAACATAAATTTGACCTCGACTATAAGATGGTGTTTGTTGTACTATTTGACGAGCAATGTGTGTTAAACAAGTAATGATGGATGTAAATCGATGTGGTTCAGTTATATTATCAATCGCCAAGAAATGTCTACAAAGATTAGATAAGTCAATAAATCAAAGAGATCAAATAAAAATACCATACTTTTCAATGATACATGGAATGATTAATTCTGGCCGAAGTATAGAAAGATAATGACAAGCTTCTACTGCTGTTTCCATATAATTCTGATTAAAAATAGATATAAAAACATATTCTTTCAGACAATTGACAAAATCAGTGATATTTTCTTCCGTTAGTCGATGTGATGACAGTGGTGTAAAAGACCAAACAGGATGAGCTTTGCGTTCTCTAGAAAATCCATTACATATAATATACATTCAATCAATATACTCACAGATGAACTCGATCGACAAAATGCATGGTAAGTTCCTGGAGAAATTCAACTAGATTTTTCTGGAATATGCCCACGTTTGATGGATGATAGAAACTTCGAATGCTAACTAACAGATCTGCCAAGTATTGTAGACACGAACTACGATTGCCTATCATCGCAATAATCCATTTTGCCACATGTGAGACAAAGTGTGGATATTTTTGTGGAGTTTTTTGTAGTTTACCCATTGGAAGTGAAAATCCTCTCAGTATTCGTGTGAAGATCTAATAGAGATGAATTTTTATTATTCGAATTAGATGACAAAAAAAAGACTATGTACTTGTGACATCCATGGTTCCCAATCAATATAACCAATATTATGCCAAGCCACTGATGAAAAAATATCGATTAGACGCTAAATATTTGATTATTAAGAATGATACATGTGGTAAAGAAGTTAACTCACTATTCTCCACACATCTTGATTGTAAATATTTTGCCAAATATTGAAAAACTCCGATAACCATAATCTAAAATAATACACAGGTTATCAAGAAAAAGAATGGAAAGAATGAAAACAAACTGAAATCCTTGGTAATGCAGATTCGGAGGTAAATTGACAGGAAGGAAATATGAGAACATCCTCATGACGCCAGCAAAACTTCCTCCCATAGGACACATTTGTGGACGTAATTCATCAAGAATTTCTTGAGTAGCTATTACAGAAAAGTATTGAGAACATTGACGAGCACAGAGTGCAAGTGAAATGTCTATATTGCTAAATAAAACTGAAAATATTTTTCTCTCTTTTAAGAAAAAATCATACGAACTTGGGTAGAATGACTAATCCATGAATTTTATCATGATTATCATCAATCAATCGAGCCCAATAATATAATATCCTCCAATCAATGTTCAAGTCATCTCGTGTGATTAGACGAGTCTTTCTAAAAAAATCGTTCTACTATGTTATCGATTGAATTGAAAAAGATCTCGAATACAAACCGAAGGAGGTGACGAAGCATGTCAAAACATAATTCAACATAGATATAATTCAAATCAGTAATGGAGAGAACAGAAAGATATAAATTGATTAATTTAAGATGTTCGATCTTGGTAAAATAAAATCCATATTTTGAAATGAATTCTTTTAAGTTGCGTGACCAAATTAAAAAGCCAGGATTCAATTCTCCTAACTGGATGGTGCGTGATAAGTTTTCTCGAATTTCATCGAACAAGTCCAAACCATATTGTTTGATTGATTCATTGAATGGCGAATATTCATTGTAAATATTGGGTTTTTGAAGATTATTCATTTTAATAATCAAAGTCTACAAATCAGAAAGAAATAATGTAGGTAGTATGCAGTTGCAGACGTGCTGACCTTTTTTCTCTTTATTTTCCTTTCTCGCAATAAACTCGACTATACTATAACAATCAGAGGGGTAAGCCGATGAATCGATCGGCGACGGCGGCTAGAAAATATTGAAATTTTTTCACCCGTCGACGGCGGCGGCTTGACCGATCTACTTACACCCCTATATATGTATATTCACGAACAGCTATTCAAAATCAGAATTATTTAAAAAATAACATAACAATTGAAAGTGTTTGATAAATAGTCGCGAAAAAAGAAACTTACAGATTTTTCACAGTCAGTCACCTAATAAAAGAACAGCTCATACATTCTATAGGAGAGGAGTCAACTACTTGAATAATTTAATGGTTGTGCACATTTGTTTAAATAGCAATGCTGTTTAATTAAAAAGTATCTCTTTTGAGTAGAGCCCGTCGGGTCCGGGTCTGGATTGAAAGAAATATGTTATCAAAATAATCTTTTTTTTTAAATTTCTTTAATTTTTTATTGAATGGGTCCAGAAAATTGTGGACCCGACGGCGTCTACTTTTGAGACGCTTCGCTAGCTAACATTTGTGTTATATATCAAGAATAATAATAAACTTTTTATACAGCCACATTGATTGCTTATTATCTAGTTCATAATTCATATTTAAATTTTGATCTTAATAAGATCAACAATGTTACTAATATTTTGATACAACTGATCGATTCAATCAATCATTAATTTTTAATTTATCCTAGTTTCAAAAAACAGGTTTCTATTGTTTAGGTCAAATGAATTATTCTTCATATCAGAGTGATCTATTTGAAAAATTATTAATTATTGCTAACTTATTTAGATCTGTGCTTCAAATAATTAATGATATTATCATTAAATCAGCGTGGGTACATATAAGCATAGATATGTACTCGAGTAGCATTCCAGCAAAATCTTATATTTAATTACTTCGCCCGAAGAATCGATCATGCACTACCCATGAATTTAAACATGACTTATTGAATAAAAAAATGGCATTTGATTGTTTGTCAATGGAATCTTTCGATTATTTAACAAGTGATATAATGAGTTCAATTACATTCAGAACTTGTGTTTCATCTCAGTTTCGAGAAAAAATTAGCAAATTAAAAAAAAATTAGCTTTAGTATAATCTTTTTTTTGCTATGTATTTATATTATATTTGTTAAGTAATACTTGAAAAACAGGTAATCACCTTTCTTCATTGCATAATATTGGTCACTATTGACAATGAATATCGGCTTATTTTCATTTGTCATACTTTGTTCATTTATCGATATTGTGAGTTCATTGTGTTTTATTCGCCGACAATAGTCTATATTATCTTCTCAGATAATATTCAGTCGAGAAAAATATGAATACAGATAGTTCATCTACACTGTTCGAACAATTCCCCGTTGAACTAATTCGTTCAATATTTGAATATCTGCCTCCACTCGATCTACTAAATGCTTTTGAAGAACTGAATAGTCGATTATCATCAATTATTCGTGAACATCCACTTTGTTTACCTAATAATCGACGAATGAGTTTAAACGTTTATGAAGATTATATGGAATACGTTTTACCAGAGTATTCGTCACAAATTGTTTATCTTCATCTATCCGAACATCGTACTCCTGATGCAGTTGAATCATTTCTCTATAGAATGTATGATCAAAAATATTTATTTTCAAAATTAAAAGCGATCACTATCCGAGATATTCCTCTTCATTTGTATCATTCGTTATTGGCCAATATTCTTCCATTGTTCAACAAACTCGAATCACTTACAATTGATATGAATATCGATCATTATCATTATTCAGATTACGACAAATGGACAGATATTGACTTTGTTGTCTCAATACTCGATTCACTTCCTCACTTACGTTCATTATACTTGAAGATTTCGCCAGCATATGACAAGAATTATTTGAATGACGTCAATATGATCTCTTCTTCTATGTCTTCTCATTTGCATCTTCACACACTCTTCATTGATCAATGTTCACGTCAATTATTTGTAGAATTACTTAGCAAGAATCGTCTTCCAAAATTACGTAATTTACGAATTAAATTTCCTCAGTAAGTATCTAAGAAAAATTTCATTTTCACAAAAAATAATCGTTACTGTTATTTAGAATGATGCACAATAAACATGTTTTAACAATGCAATCTCATCAAATACCATTGAATACAAGTTGCGTACCTCAATTACGTTGTATCAAACTTGAAGTGCACACAAATATTCAATGGATTTTAGATTATTTAGAAGAGATCTATCGTAGTGAGCAACTGGAAGAATTAATCATCCACGGTTATGTGAGATTTAGTGAAGGTACGGATTTTCCAAGGGCAGATATTGTACGAAAATGGTTAGCTATGTCAAAATTGAAACAATGCAATGTTCGATTTCATTTTTCGGTTATCTACAGAGAAAAAATTGATCAACAAAATTTAAATGATTTATTCGCTAATTATATGAAGATATTTGGACGAGCTTCGATTTACCAAAATGAGTACATTCTTATTCACTATCCGAATAATATTAAATCACTTCCGAATGAAGACGAAGAAGATGATATTGGCGCTGTTGATGAAGTAAGAAAGAAAAGCGAACTATTAGTCAAAGTGAAATTATTTTTCGTAGAAGAATCTTATTGAATCGAATATATTTAATTTTAGTTAGAGATTGACGAATCAGATTATTTAGAAGATGAATGGATAGAAACTGTACAAAATGTCTCTCACTGGCCGAATCTTCGCAAAATATCAATTTTGGGTGATTGTACAAAAGATAAGTAAGTCAAAAATCTTGATTTAATTGTGTAAATTCTTTCATGTGATTGCAGAGATGCTATCAATCGAAATTTTCCTATTCTACTTCATGTTGCACGACGAGCAATACGTTTCTGTGAACTTGAAATTGAGGCAACGCTTGCATTTGGTCTTGCTTTATCATCGAACATTGAACTTTGCAAATATCTTGCTGATCATCTCGAAGTACTTCGTTTTAATGGCGAAGATCGAACAAGTTCTTTTCTTCAATTGGTTCAAGTCGTTGATACAATTTACTCTCACTCATCATCTTCATCGTTACCACTGAAAAAATTGACAATTTTTGTCGATGCTAAGCCAGCATCATGGCTAACAATTGAACATTTTCAAAAAGGACTTCAACTAGTCTTTAATCGTTTTCCATCACTTATTCATTTTACATTATACTGTTGTCAAATAGAACAATTTACTGATACTATCTATAATTTAAATGAATTGTTATCCGATTGGTCTTCAGGAGTCAATTGTGGCGGATCATGGAGTTGGAGATCTCAATCAAATTCATTTGATCTTTGGCTCTAAAGCAATTACTCGTCTATCTAATAACACAAAGACATATATTCATTCTATCAATAATAATAATCTTCTCTCAGTTTCTTTTTCTCCATAATCAAGATTGTTTAATTCTCAAATAAATGTTCATATGAAATTCCCTTTTCCAATAAAACATATCTATTGAAGATACTAGAGGGTGTGGGTGTGGGTGTCACTTCTTCCTTCATATCCACACCTCAAATATATGGTGGAGTACTAGCTGATACTGCAAGATAAGTCACCATTTAGATTGGTATCATTGCAAATATTCATCGATACTAAATCTCAAGTACTGGAAAATGACGTCAGAATATCATATTGACTCGAGTTTTGTAGTACGACAGCAGCTGAATGTTCATTTTCATTACTAACATCAGTATTGGCTGTATTCATCATAAGATTAATTATTTGTTTTTATTTTTGGTGAGACAGCATGTATGCGAGTGTTGATTTAATAATGATAAATAATTTTACTTGGAAAGTTACAATTTCTTATCTTGTTTTTTTTTGTGTGCTTGAGAAAATTTATCAAACGCTGCAAGAGAACAGAAAAACAACTGTGGGCGAGGATGTGACTGCGAGTCTGGCAAAGTTAAAGTCGTCAGGGAATTACAGTCTCAATATGTAATCCACGTCAATACCTTGAGAGTGGGTGTATGTGGGCGTGGGTGAGATTCTCACCTACACCCACATCCTCAAGGTGATTATTTTTCTTTGAATTCCTCGAAATGTTATTTGTCTGCTCACACGCTCAAAACAACCTTAGCAAATATTGCAATAAGATGATGCAAGAACAGGGTTTTTTTTCTTTCTCGTTCTGTCGCAACTTTTATTTTTCTTCTTACCGCCGATGCATGTTCTCGAATAAAAAGAAGAGTTGTTTTTCTTTTAGTTAACATTTGCATAAAAACACCAACGAAGAATGGATGTCTCCACGACATCAGCTGATGACGTGCTTAAAAAGCGTTATGCTGAGCTTGCGGAGAAAACAGTTACGGCAATAGCGAACGAAGGACCACCACCAAACATCAATGATCGACCAGCAATTCCAAACTCTCTTCCTACATTGCCACGTTATGAACCTCCTCCACCACGTCGACCTCAACGTCCACGACCTACGTGTCGTATGTTTTTTCCAACGTCGGGCCATCTGGGTTTTGATACAGTCAAATTGACTACAGAGCTACCATCGATCGAAACAGTTCGTGAAATGGTCATATATGAAACACGTCTTCGGTTGTCGGATTCAATTCAAGAAATTATGGATCAGTACTATACTGACGAGTGTGCTGTTACGTAAGTTTCACTTTTTTATTTCATTGTAATATACATATATATTGATTGGTGAGAACTTGTAGATTCGTTCACGATCTCATTCAAAAACATGTGGTAGAACATTTTGGCTATTATGATGTCAATGCACTACGCACTGCTTTACATCGTTTTCCAAATGATCCCGTTATTCAAGCCGCTTTCTATGGTAAGAAATTGTTCGAAAATATTTGAGAATACCAGAAGATATTTAGCAAAAGTCAAACTTTTGAGGTAACAATATTTTTTGATAATTAATTTTTTTTAGTCAAATACAACAAAATTACACAAGGAATAGTTAACCAAGGTCAATGTGCTCGTGATGTCGATTTATATACAACAGATGGTCATCTTACTACTTTATTTTCGCAAATGTCATCTGGTCAACCATTGATAATATTGGCCGGGTCAACTAGCTGACCTCCATTTCGGGCAAATGTCGAGCGAATGAAGTAAGTTCTTTGTTTGTTAAAATTAAAGTAGACACACTTTTATGTTCATAATTAATATGTAGCGCGCTTGTTCGCTCACATGCGCCCAACGGCATTCGCCTCTTAGCAATTTATATTGCTGAGGCACATGCACGAAATGAGTGGCCTGTAGGAAAGACAATTTCATGTATTGATCAACCAACAACGCTAGCAGAACGACTTAATAATGCACAACAATTCAAAAAGAACTTCAACTTCGAAATGTTGATGCTCGTTGACAACATGGATAACACCTTTCATACTACTTATGGATCATGGCCATTTCGCTTCTTTGTCATTTATGATGGCAAATTAGTGTTGAAAGCAGAACCCGATAAAGAAACATTTACCTATGACATGAAGGAAATCGACAACTGGATTGCTAACTTCTATCAATCACGTTCTCAAGCTATTTGAAACTTTTTTTTAAATGACTTAAATGAATAGTACATTTGTTTTCTTGCCCCCACCTTAGTTTTCTATTTCATATGGATCTGTTCGACATTCCTCGACACATGGAGCTTTAACATGAACTAATGATAACTATGAACAAAAATCACATTTAGTGAATGTTCAAAGTTTGATAAAAATATGTTAAATTTCTAGAGGAATTCTTAGCGCGTAAAATTGTCGAATACATGCCGACTGAAGTAGAAAACAAAGGTAGAAAAAGAATCAATTGTACATTGATTAGATAGATTGTGTTTTCTATGCTTTGCCAAAAATACAATAAAACTATACTTAACTACACTCGCACCCTCAAGATGGTGATTCTATTTCAGATTTCACGATCTTCCAATAAAATAGCAACATCATTGACATACTCAGGTGAATTACAGAGGAAAGAAAAGACGCTTCAGTTATCGCATCACTCTTTGTATTTAGTAACTGACGATGTCGTTATCCAAGTTTGAAAACTTCCAAACGAAATTCTTATGGAACTCTTCGAGAAACACATCAATGGTCTCGATATTGTGAATGCATTCGCTTTCCAACTAAATCGACGAATCGATAGATTGATTCTTCAATGCCAACGTTTCCAATTTGATTTCATCCGATGTCATAAAGATGATTTTGCTATTTGTCTCAATCTACTACCCGCCTATTCAAGTAGAATCGAAGAGTTAGGACTGTCCGAGCATAAAACACCGGGACAAATATATGCTTTCTTACATGCCTACCCTAAATTTAGTTCATTTCCACAGCTTCGTCGACTTTACTTTCATATGGATCTGAATACGTGCGATCCGATAATGATATAAAAAGCTTTGGATTCACTTGTCGAAACACACATTGAGACACTTGCAGTGAAGATAGTTGGCATACCAGAAGAGCGATACCGCTCCTATGACTGGAACTTCGCACAGTTCTTTCAACTTCCAACGGTGAAAAAACTGACTTTTGCCACTAATGTCGGATTTCCATACGATTTCTTTGATAATGTAATAAAACCTTCGAACATCGAATATTTCACTTTTGCGGATCCAGAAATTAATTTTGGTGACTTCAGTTTTCTATTACGATTGATGCCGAATCTGAAATATCTCAATATTCGTTTGACTTCTGCACAATATGGTGTTCGACGTTGGCGAGACGTCGATCAAAACAAACTGTTCCCACTGATGCCCATAATGAAGACTTGTATCGTTCATGTCGACGACAGAAAACCGATCGAGTTCGATCTTCTAGCACATCACCTGAAAGCAATGCCTGATTTACTTCAATTGGAAGTCACTGCACCTCATAAACTTTTCAATGCACAGAATTGGGAAGATCTGATCACATCATCACTGACGAAACTCGTTCATCTACGCCTCTATGCCACGAGGCATCATCAAGATCCGGAAACTGTTGTACAAATCACAGATGCATTCAAAACTCCATTTTGGGTCAAGAAGACGAACTTTGTCTTTATGCTTATGCAATTGATCGATTTGCTTGCTAAACGTCGAAAGGTAAAATGTCGAAAATACTTAGATGTCGTCATTGACCAGTATCGATGTTTGTTCTAATCATTTTTCTCGTGTTTTCTTTCGGCTTCGTCTAAAATCGTTACGTCGACTAGTTAGGGTCTGGGTGTGGGTTAAGAAACGATAAATACTCACACCCACCCATCCACCCACATCTACACCCAGACCCACACATCCACACCCACATCTACACCCATTGAAATTAAGTATTCCATTATCAACATCAAACACGATTCTTTGTTCATTCCACATTTTTTCCGTTCAATATTTTTCATTTCGACTTTTTTCAATTTTGATTTTTTTTTTGACGTTCTTCCTTTCGACATTTTTTCTTTCTACATTTAGCATACATACCAATTGAACCAGCATAAGAAAGTCAGAGAGCAGAGTGAAACGATCGAGCGTTTGGGTCGAGCCAGTTTCAATATCTATGCCTACCAATTCTGGACAGGAGCCGTTAGAAGCGATAGGTTCCTGCAAAATCCGATGATTTTGACGAGAGAGTGGGCCAATCAAATTCATGAGAGGAAAGACGCTTATTTTTACTATGTTGAACATGTTGATTGTCAGAATATGGATCGGTATATGGTCGATTGGTTCAAAGGCCATGTGAACTGTTTAGAAATTAAGCATTTCGAAGGGCGACACTTTTGTAAAGGAACAGAATTATCGATCTTTACCAATCTTCGAACTGTTCGACTACCACCAAAGGCATTGGCTGTTCTGAGCAAAGCTATATTCCAAGTTTTTCCTACTGTTCAGTATCTCGATCTTCGTGGCGAAAAAGAACTATTCCATTCTGAATGCATCGAACAAATACGAGAATTATTTCCGAATGTCGAACATCTTGTGTTCAATACTCAATCGTTAGACTGTGTTCCAACCTTAGCTTGTTGTTTGCCACGACTTCGTTCATTGACTTGTATGATCATCATCATCATCATCATGTCCCTTAGGCTTAGCGCCCGTTGGGGCCAACCATTTTACGGGATCAGATTTTTCCACGCCTGTCGGTCTTGCGCAAGATGGAACAGTTCCGATCCACTGCGTTGACACCACTCTGTTATGTCATCCAACCATTCTCTGCATGGACGCCCTCGTCTAGTTTTGCCCTCCATTTTGCCAAACACTAGATATCTTATTAATCTATTGTCGTCCATTCTGCAGATGTGGCCAAATAACCTTAGTTTTCTCTTTTTAATGATATCTATTATGGTCTCTTCTTTTGATATCTTCTTCCTGATATCTTCGTTTCGTACCATATCTTGCCAACTAATTCTTAGAACCCGTCGGTAACATTTCATTTCGAATGCCAATAGTTTTTTCCTGTCTGCTTCTTTTAAGGTCCATGTCTCGGACGCGTATCATAGGACACTGAACACACATGTGGTTAGGACTCTGAGTTTGTTTTTTAACGTCAGTTTCTTGCCATTCCATATGTGTCTCAAAGAAGCCATTGCACCTGTCGCTTTTCCTATTCTCCTGTTTATTTCCTCTGAACAGTTATTATCCCATGTCAGCAGACTGCCTAGATATTCAAATTTTTCCACATTTTCTATGGTGGTTCCTGCTACTTGGACACTGCTATCGATATTCCTGTCTCCAAATACCATGGTTTTGGTTTTATTAATATTTAGGATCAGTCCAGCTTGTTCAGCAGCTGTTTTAGTTAGCTCTATTTGGCGTTGAAGTGAGCTAACGTCTTCATCTATAAGGTCAATATCATCGGCGAATCTTAGATTATTTATTACTGTTCCGCTAATCTTGATTCCGCAGGTGTTCTGTCTCACCTGATCCATTACTCGCTCGAGATATGCGATGAAGAGGAGTGGTTACAGAGGGTCGCCTTGTCTAGTCCCCAAATCTGTGCGAAACCACTCTCCATAGTCTGTGCCAATACGAACAGCTGACTGTGACTTTTCGTAGATATTTTGTAGCAAGGTGACCATCTTTGTGTCAACACCATAAGATTTTAGCATAGCCCAAATAATTTTATGTTTGATCGTATCGAATGCTTTTTGAAAATCTATAAAGCAGTTATATATTTTCTTGCCCTGTCTTTTTGCCTTTTCAGCTAATAATCTAAGCGTTAATATTTGATATATGGTACTCCTGTCTTTTCTGAATCCTGCCTGCTCTTCTGAGAGGTACGGATCCAGATGGTTTTTTAATCTATTCAGCAGTACTATTAAGAGTACTTTTCCTGTATGATTAATAAGAGAGATCGTGCGATAATTTGAGCAATTACTTAGGTCTCCTTTCTTTGGTATAGGTACCAATATAGATTTGCCCCATTCTTCTGGAATTGTGCCCTCATGCCATACTTTGTTACAGAGCTTGTGGATTTGTCTTGCTAGCGGTTCGCCCCCAGCTTGTAGCATTTCCGCTGTTATTCCGTCTGATCCTGGACTCTTATTTCTTTTTAATGAGCTTATCGCTGCTTGTACTTCTGAGTACAAGATATCTTGGGGGCCCTCGTTTTCAGGAAGTGCAATGTCTTCAAGCTCTTTCACCGTCCTATCCCCACCTCCAGGATCTTTATACAGACTGCTGCAATACTGTGTCCACCTTTGTTTAATTTCGTCATTTGACTGTAACATTGTCCCCTCTTGACTTCGTATGACATTTAATCTAGGTACAAATTCTTTTCGTAGCATTTTTATGAGGCTATATGCTTCTCTTGTATTCCCAATATTTAGACCTCTTTCAGCTTGCTCGCATTGGCCTTGGATCCAATGTTCTTTATCCTGTCTTGCTGCTCTCTTAACTTTCCTGCATAGATCTTTATATTGTTGTGTATATTCTGAGGAAACGTCTTTTAGCAGTTTTAGTTTGCGTTTTTCATCAGCTAGTTTTAGTGTTTCTTCAGAAATCCATGGTTTTTTGGTTATTCTTTTGGTTGGTACAGTTGCCTCTGTTGTGGTTTTGATAGCCTGCTCTATCTTTGTGGTATGCTCTTCCAGACTGCACGTTGGCTCTATCTCTTTAAGCTGTTTCGCTAGAGCGGTGCTATATGATTGCTTGATTTTCTCATCTTTCAGTCGGTTCACATCAACTCTATAGCCCTTTTGTGATTTGTTGTGCTGGCTCTTAAGTTTCAAGTTAATATTGCACAACACTAGTGAGTGATCTGAGCTTATGTCTGCACTCTGAAACGTTCGACAGTTGATGACCGAGGTCTTCCATCTACGCTGGATGAGTATCAAGTCAATCATATTTTTATGAATGCCATCTGGTGATGCCCACGTCCACTTTCGATTTGATTTATGTTCAAATCTTGTATTACATATGTAGAGATTGTGCACTGTAGCAAATTCTAGGAGCCGTTCCCCGCGATCGTTTCTATCGCCATAACCATATTTTCCCATTACGGATTTCCAATCTGTATTATCATTGCCGATTTTAGCATTCCAATCTCCTGTCAGAATAAGTATATCCTTTTTATCTGTCTTTGTTAATACTTCCTCAATATCGTTGTAGAATGCTTCAATATCTTCTTCTGAAGATGAGGAAGTTGGTGCATATACGTGTATTACTGACATTTTGAATGGTGCTGCATCGAATCGTGCCGAAATTATTCGTGAGCTGATTGGATTGTATCCTATTAATGCCTTTTTGGCTTGAATGCTTAGTAAGAACCCCACACCCCTCATATGTGAGGATTCTTCTCCTGACCAGATGAAGTCTCCTTTCGGTGTTTCACCTTTTCCTGTCCAACGGACTTCGGAAATGCCAATTATATCGTATCTGAATCGCTTCATTTCATTTCGAAGTAATTCTAGCTTGCCAGTAGCCCATAATGTCTGCACATTCCATGTTCCTACTGTTAGAGTATTTTTAGCAAGTTTTAGTTTTTGCGTGTTATTTGTCGTATATGAATTCTTTCCAGTCGCCAATTTTTCGACTCTGCCCTGGTCACTCGACAGAGGACGCGGACCTTGTTTTACCGGGCGTCGTCCGAGCCGGCATAAATTATCTCTGATATCGTTCATGGTTGGTTTCTTTCGTCTTGTTCTTTTTACAGACGGCGGTATCTGCACCCCTTCCGTCCAACACTCCTCCTTTATCCGGACTTGTGACCGGCACGGAGCCCGCCGGACAGCGGTCTCCGAGGTGGAGTTATTGAAAATATACATGTTGATAATTCTCCTTGTTCACTAAGTATCCTATAAGATTTTTCAAAACCTTGATAAAATAAAATAGCACATAATAATCTACCAAAATGTGAATTTAAATCAATGTCATTCTCAATAATACGTGATCTTTGTTGATTTGTATTTAATTCAGCTTGAATTGTATATGGAAGATTAGAACTAGTTAATAAAGAATTATTATTAGTAGGAATCATTATTAATCTATTACCAACTTGAGCATCTAAAGTCGATGTATAAATATATTTTGCACCATAAACAACTTTCATACAACTTGTCGAAGCTGTATTAGCAGTATTATCAAAAACAACTTGATATAAATATTGTTGATCATTTTGTTTTTCATAATTTATTCGACATTCATTCGCTTTATCAATTAATTCTTGTTGATTAGGTTGTGTAAAACCAAATGCATTCCAAAGATAATTTGTTGATTCTGATTTCATTTGATCTTTAATATTTAAAAACTGTAAATTATTATAATCAAATAAAGCAAAATCAAATTCATTGGATAAACTAGAACCAATTGAAATAAAGCCAGATTTTTCGGAAGATTTCATATGTTGTAAAAATAATTGTGATTGAATTATATTAAATGTTGATTCAGGATTTAAATAAATAAAAATAATTAGATCAGTTGTATTTAACCAATTTATTTCAGGATTATGAAATACACCATATCGTTCAATATCCCATGTTTGACTTGAATATTTAAATAATTGAAATAGATTTTGATATGCAAGATATTCAATTCGGCCAACTTTAGAATTTGTTACTAAAAGTACATCTGTATGAATATTTGGTTGAAATATTGGAACTACTCGAAATTTATTTTGACGTTTTTCAATTAATTTATTACGTAACAATAAATCAATATCCCAAAATAAATGTTTAAAATAATGATAAGAAGAATTTTCATCTAATTTAATTTCAAATTTAATACGTTTTGTTGATTGTGGAGAAATTTCTTCATTGATTTTATAATAACCCAAACCATCAGATTTTATTTCATAAATATATTGACCATTTGCAGGTAAAATTTTTATTGAAGAATGAGTAGAAAGTTTAAATTCGATTGAACCAGCTGAATTTAAACATTCACCATAGGATCGTGTAGATATATTCTTAAAATTAATTATAACACTCGATCGTTCACCAGGACCTAAATATATTGGACCTTCAGTTTTTGTTATTCGAATTGGATATTGACAAGTTAATGTTGTTGAAACTTTACTTCCAGTAAATAAACGATTTAATAATTTTACTTCTGATGTTATATTAACACGTTTTATATAGGGTTCATTTATTGAAACACTATCTAAATCATTCAGATGACATTGAAATTGATGAGAATCAACTACAGCTTGATTAATTGAATTGTCTTGTAATATACTAATATCATTTATGTCTGTAGTTATATATTCTGTCGATGGAAATGATAATATTGATCCACTTGGTAAATTCATTCCACCATTATTTATCCATTCAACATTTGTAATAGAAAAACTTGAATTTGGCTCATAGATTCCATCGTTATTTTCATCATTAATAGTATAACCATAAACACTAACATGATATTTATCAGGACCTGTTTTACTAATGTTTCCATCTATATCAACTACAGCATATTGAATTGAACCACTATTTGCAGCGAGACCATCTCGACCATTATTACCCCTATTACCTGCACAACCACCAGGACCATCTCTACCAAATGTACCGTCTGTTTCACCATAACTACCGCGACCACCCTTACCACCCGAACCACCTGCGCCACTACTACCACCTTGACCTTTTTTTCCTGCCCGACAATCTATTTCAATTAACATAAATAATCGAGGATCTGTACTTTGAACTTGGACATGACCACCAGCGCCTGCATTTCCTCCGTGTCCACCGCATCCGCCATTACCTCCACGTCCTCCACACCCTCCATCTGCACCAGAACTACCATCTATTCCATGATATCCATCACCTCCATTGCCTCCATCACCCCCATTGCCACCATTACCTCCATTAGCTTTCATCAGAATAATACCATTTGATCTAGCCAATTTAAAATCATAATTAAGATTATTAAAAGGTCGTCCAAGATGCCAGCTAATATCACCAGAATTTTTATACGAATTATTTAATCTATTAGATGTTTTTACTTGCATAATAAAATCTTCAACTGTTCCATTTAACAATATCAATGCATTTTGAGAATCTGCACCAGAATAACCATTACTCCCACCTGATCCATTACAACCATTACCACCGTTACTGCCACTGAATCCACAATATCCAGCTAAACCATTACTGTCGACATATTCATTTGAACCTGATTGACCATTAATAGAAATTGTTTGATCCACAGGTTTTTGCGAAGCTCGGTAACTTACACTATCAGCATCAAAACTAAAATTTTGTAATTCAACTTCTGTAATTATACTCATTATCCTGGGTTAATTTAAATCGAATGAGTATGATATTTTCTTCCTTTTCTAATATTATCAATTACGTTTTTAAATATATTTTCAAAACATTATTCACCTTTTTTACTTATCTATATTCATGTGTAGGAGTCAACTTATTATTAACATTTATCTGTTCTCTTCTATACTCATAGAATCCTTGATATATTTATTTATTTTTCTTCTTCTTTTCTAATCTTTTATGACACAAGGCAATTTTATCATAAACAATAATTTTGATTCATACACGAAATTTAGAAAGATAAAGAATAGGAGTGGGTGTACGTGTGGTTTGAAGAAGAAATAAACAACCATACCGACACTTTCAGTGAGAGACGCTTTCAATTCATCCATCTCATTTCTACGATTATTACTGATTGTAGACGCTCACAACATTAAAACTTCTATTTACTAATATTGATGGTGAAGGCGTACCGAATATCGCTAATGTATTACAGAAGAATATGGGTATGAGTGAGAAAGCGTGGTTGCGTGGAGATGCATGAGTGTGTGTTTGGCTCTGGGTGTGGATATGATTTTGGGCTTGTGTGAGAAGGTGGATGTAGATGTGAGTATGACTAAATAAAAGATAAGTTTACCATTACACCCACACCCTCAAGATGGATATGGCGATAAAAACATTTTCTTAATTTACTTCGATGTTTCAGTGGCAGGGATTGATGTAGAAGATTTTTATAAAGATACTTATCAAGACATTATTATACTAGATAGAGAAACAGACATCATTCAAATTTTTTAAACGAATGTTTATGTTTTCTTACTTATACGATAGAAACAAGTACTTCGTTCGAAAATTGAAGAAAAAAAGTTTTGCCTATTAATTTAACGTTTCTTCTATTTTATGCTTTGAAAATAAATAAGAGAATCTCATTTATTACATATTAATTTTAGAGTTAAAATGATAGGAATGACTTATTTTATTTCTACATTCAAGGTAAGCAATAATCAATGTATTTAATCTATTTTATTCAAATATTTAAAGGATCTTTTCATAGGAAACAAGAATTCATCAACAGAAAAAACAAATAACTATAATTATGTTCACTTGAATAATATTATACAAAAGTACAGTTTATATTTAAGTTTAATGCCATCGTTTTCAACGACATCAATGAATTTTGATTAAAATCATCGAATAATCTAATTCTGAGATCGTTTAATTTTGTCATATGATTTATAATGTAGAGAAAAGTAGAAGTGTGACCAATAGCACATTGAAGTTGTTCGATATTCGAAAATACCTGACAAAACTTATTCAAGTCATTAAATTCATTAAATTGATCATCATAATGTTGATCAATAATTAATATTTTAATCATTTCATTTAAATATTGACATAATTCATCATTAATAAGTAGTGACATTAAAACAGATGTGTTAATTTCTAATGATGATAATTTTCGTGCTTTTTTCAATATATTTAATAAATCAGTTGATGATATTATATTTTCGATACGTGTAATATCTAAATGTTTAAGATTAGATAAATTTATGATAACTGGAAGTGATTCAAAAAAATTCTCCTTTTGTTTTTGATTGATGTAAAATTTTTCTATATAATCTGATGTTTGATATATTTTTAATGATTCAACATTTTCAAAATAATAATCATGAAAATTTTCATTTAAAAAATCAATATATAACTCTGTAACATATCGAAATACTTTTGATTTATTGATTAATGTAATACCAAATATTTTTGTTTTTAAATTTAATTCAAATTTATTATTTTGATATGGTATAGTAAAAAACCTTGTATTGATTGGGTTAACTACACAAATAATATCCCAATGGTGATCTTTAGACCAAAAATCATTTTGAAATTTATCTAAACTAATATTCTGTTTAGTCGAAACAATAAATTCAAATTTGAATATCTTTAAATGATGTAATGATGATTGAATTAAATTTTGCCAACCTTTGTCATCGGTCATATCTATTCCATCACTATGTTTTGTTGTTAATATTTCTAAGTTTGGTGTTTGTTTTAATAAGAATTCAAATATTTCAAAATCAACTTCTTCTGAATAATCAACAATAAATTGTTTTAAATAAAAAGCACATGTTGATATATGATTTATTTCATTTATTCCATCCAAAGGAGAATGGAAACCATTAACATGTAAATAGTTAAGCATGGGTGCATATTTAAATAATTGGCATATATGATCGAAAAAACAAATTTTAATTGTTAATGATGTAATAAATATTATTTTCCGATTAGTAAAGAATTTCATTTGAATTTTCGGTAAAAATAAATTCGATAATATTTCACAAGTTTCATAATTTAGATCATTTGGATAACCATTATAAAAATTTGATAATGATAATAATATCGATTTGTTTTCTTCACTATTTCTATCATCAAGATCAATTAATGTTAGCAGTTGTAATTGAGAGAAATCGGTTAATGAAAAAGATGAAAAAAATGAACTCAATTGTTTCCATGTTTTTGATATTTTTAATGAAATAATTTGATTTCGAAGTTGTGAATTAATTGTTAATTTATAGAATAATTCTCGAAATAAACTTTGATTTTTTTCTGGCAAATTTAAGTTTAATAAAATATTTCGAATAAGTTTATTAAATCGATAATTTAATCGATAAAATGAATAAAATATATCAAATGTATTAAGATATTCAAAACATTCAATTAATATTTCATTTGGTAATTGATCAAATTTCATTTTTGTTTTAAATGTATACAAAGGAGAAAAATATTCAAAATTTTGTTCGTTTCTAATTACAAATAATTCGTTTACTATAGATGGCACTAATATTTAATTGATCCAATCAATTTTGGATAAATCCATACTTCATTTCATGTTTCCGAAAACTGTTATTTTAGGTAAATTAATCTTATTAAAGTTTTGTCAGCAATTACATTTATCCTTGTGTCCATCGTTTAGCAAAATAGTAGTTCTTCCGTAAAATTTACGAGTTTTTTCGCACAAGAAAATTATTGTATAATCCTCTTTGAAAACAGCGAGGGTATGGGTATGAGTGTGAGTGCGATAAGAACAACAAACATCTGCCTACATCCACATTCATCCTCTCAAATATTACTTGACGCTATTAGTATTAGCCACTATTTTTATTATTATGATCAATAAATGAAAAGATAAAAGGATATATTCTAAATTCGTGTTTATTATTCCTTGACGACATTAACTTCAGTGACGTCTATGATGGTAATTATATGTAGAACCAGTAGTTCCATGACCAGTAGTTCCATAACCAGTAGTTCCATAACCAGTAGTTCCGTAACCAGTGGTTCCGTAACCAGTAGCTCCATAACCAGTGGTTCCATAACCAGTAGTTGCAGAGCCAGTAGCTCCATAACCAGTAGTTG